AGGGGAGCACATTTTGGTGGAAAAGGGAGGAGAAGAACTCCCTTCTATGAAGGGTGGAGAGAGCTCTCCTGGCACAAGAAATAACAAAATGGACAAGACAGGGAGAGTAAGGGCATTGGAATGGAGAGTGACACCCAGAAGTGGAGATAGACAGTGGCACCAGGTGAAGATCAAGGGGAAGCCAAAGGTCAGCCATCCAAGTCCTCAAAGGAGTATTTCATTTGCTTCTTAAACACCACTATATATTTTCCTTGTTGTTGGGTTGATGTATGACAAGAGTATTTCATTGTCTTTGTATATGTGCTGCCAAAGTGGACAAAATTTTCATTTTTTTGTAAACATTATTCTGGCTGCTGTGTGGAGAAGGGGTTGTAGAGGAGACAAGAATGAATGTGATGAGATTTGAATCACCCTGGAAAGAGATGATTATGGCTTGAGCTCTGATGACATTAGAGAAAGGAGAAAAGGTGTGTGACTTAAAAGATAATTCATGGGCGAATTGGAAAAATGTTTAAAAAAATTGTTCATCTCCATATCTGTGAGCTCAGGGGTATAAAGTAGACTGAATTGTAGGTAGCCTATTTTTATTGTCCTTCCACTCATACCTTACTGTGATCTTAGCAAGTGAGCAGTTAAAGCTCCATTCCTTACCTGCAGGTTTGGCTATGTGATTTGTAGTGGCCAAAGGAATTTCCTGGACTCCTTGCATTTTACTCTTTCGGTAATTATCATAAAATAACCTTATAAGTTATGTGTCCTGTACTTAATATATTCCCTCACCCAATGCTGCTGACTACAACAATAATGAAATAGGAGTGTCAAGGAGGGAAATACAAAAGACTTAACTCAAAAAAAAAGGGACATATGCCAGTTCTAACTTTGGCTCTTAGAAGATGGCTTTCATCTGTCTTTGTTCTCTTGTACCCATGCTATAAGAAGCATTATCTTTATGTTGCTGCTTGACCTCGGACTTCATAGGAATGAATGTATGTGGATAGGATGAATAGACATGACCTTCTATTCCTTTCTCTTCGATTCTCTTCCTCTTTCCCTTCCTCTCTTTCTTTCCCCCCCTACTTCCCCTCTGTCATCACTTATTCTGGGGAAAACCAGCCATCATATGATGAGGATACTCAGGTATCCTATGGAGAGATCCATTGAGTAAGAGAGGAACTGAGGTCTCTGGCAAGCAGCTAAGAAGGGCCTGAGTCCTGCCAATGACCATATGAGTCATTTTGGAAGCAGATCCTCCTCTGGTTGAGCCAGATGATCACAGTCACAATAACAACCTGGCTGCACTCTCACATGAAATGATGAGCGAAAAACTGCCCAGTTAAGAAGCTCCCTGATTCCTGACCCACAGATATTGTGAGGTAATAAATATTTGTTGTTCCAAGCTGCTAAATTAGAGGGTAATTTGCTAAGCAGGAGTGGATAACTAATATACTCAATAACTTCTGGTTATTTCTCATTGGCTACACTCTGTCACATGGTCAAACCTTTCTCAAAGGAGGCTGGGAAATATAGTTTCAAATAAAGCAGATGGCCAATCTGAACAAAGCTTGTGCTCCTATGAATGTGGAAGAAAGAGAGAAAGGATTTTGCTTGAAGCAATTTCTGTTTTGCTCCTTTATTATGTTCTTTATGGCACAAAGCTACAAGGAGTTGAAAATGGTTGTGGGCAATACTTTTCCTTTTTCCTCTCTTTGTTACTAATTTGGGACAGTGAGGAAGCAATTCCATGAAATGAGAGTTCTATTGCTTCAGTTGCTGGATGTCAAAAAAAATTTTGAGACAAAGTAGATGTCTTATCTGTGATATCTCCTAAAAGCAAGTCAATCACAAAGTTATCTGCATCAGCTATTTAATTTCTTAAGAGCCCATTAATTTAAGAATGCTCCTACTGGCCAATTGCATGGCTATGTGAATATTTGGCAGGGTGTAGAGCTTCTTAATTTTTCTAACTGGCAGATTCTCCTTCATTCCTTTCCAAGAGGAGAGGACCCAAGAGCCATTATAATATTTCTTGTCATATACTTGAATATCTGCCACAGGAACATTTACTTTTTTTCTTAACTGAAAAAGCAGTCTTAGTTTTTATGTTCTTATAAAGCACATCCATCATATCAAAAGCCTTTCTGTGCTATTGCCCAGTGGTGAAAAAAACCCAATATTCATTGTTGACCTACTGTGTGCCAGGTGCCTTACATGTCTCAACTACTTTAAATATGTGCAAAAGCCCAATGATGGGGTTCATTAGCATTATGTTTACTTTATAGATGGGACTCACGAAAATGACTTTCCCAGGGGACAATGAAGATTTGAACTAAGGACTCTGGTTTCCAAGTCCATGCTGACAAATTGCCACAGCCTCTGCTCTCTATTTAAGAAGGCAAAATTGATTTTTTTCTGACCATTATTTAACTTTCCTCTATTAGCTGATTCTTTGATCCATTTATAAGAAGTTAATTCCAAAACTTTTAGTCACTTACATAGTGCCTAATTGTATTTTAATATTTGATGTGCTTAGAAATGTATGAAGAATTAATGCTTATTCTGAGCTGATTATCACATGTGTTATGCTTTGTGAACTGTGGACTTTGGGATATTCGTGAACTTTTCTAATTATTGCCATGGGGTTATGAGATATTCTTGAACTTTTCTTTCTAATTATCGCCATGGAGTTATGAGCAATACTGCTATATGTCTGTACTTTATTTTTGGTCACTAAAAAAATAGATTCAGGAGGAAATGGATCTCACTTTTCTGAAGATGTTGGCTGACGGACAAATTGATATTCACTGGTCTATTGAAGACCAAACTCTGCCTGGGTTTAATTTGAGTATTGGGGTCATCTTTAGTCAGGATTTTCTGTTTCTTAATTTTTAAAAACAATTGAACTTTTTTGGGAGATCATTTTAGGTTCTTATTCAGTGACAAGAACTAAGACAGATGTCACTTACACTTTGTCCAGTTTCCTGTAATGGTAATCCCTGGAATGCTAAGGACAAGAACTAGGATATTGACATTGATACAGTCAAGACTCAGAATCCATATGGACTCTTCATCCTGTCCTTTGAGAGTCTTTCCAGTTAAAAGTAAGATGTGTTGGGTGGGGACTTATCTCAGTGGTTCTGCTGCCTGCCTTACAAGTGCAAGGACCAGAGTTTGATCCCTGGTACAAAAAAAAAAAGAAAAAAAAGTAAGATGTGTGATTGAAAAATATGGTTAATGCTTACATTAAAAAAGATGACACCAGTTTGTAATAGCTAAAACTTGGAAACAGCCCATCTGCCCATCAATTGGAAACTGGTGGGGACTTATCTCAGTGGTTCTGCTGCCTGCCTTACAAGTGCAAGGACCAGAGTTTGATCCCTGGTACAAAAAAAAAAAGAAAAAAAAGTAAGATGTGTGATTGAAAAATATGGTTAATGCTTACATTAAAAAAGATGACACCAGTTTGTAATAGCTAAAACTTGGAAACAGCCCATCTGCCCATCAATTGGAAACTGAATAAAGAAGATGTGGTTTTTCTATAAAATGGAATACTGCTCAGCCATAAAGAATGAGAAAGTAATTCATTCATAGTTAAATGGGTACATTTTGAGGATATACTTCTAAGAGAAATAAATAAGGCACACATATGCAAATACCAAATAGTTTCTTTGGTGTGAAAAACTAAAATAGTACTCAAGATCCTAGTGGGACAATTAGCAAATAGGAAGAAAAGGACCAAAGGTGTAGGGACAGTGAGAAGGATAGGGAAGGGGGACTAAGAGAAAAGGAAAAAATATGAGAAAATGTAAAAATGGAATTAAAATGTTTGAAGGGGGGAAGGGGAGGGTAAAGGGAGGGTTGGGACAAGGGGAAAAAATGAGAACCAAGACCTGGCATGTAAAGGTACAAGATCCCAGTAATGAATGTAGCTGTACTGTCTACCTAGAATGTACCAATAAATTCATTTTAAAAAAGGATGGTACTAAAATATACATTTCTATGAATCCCACTCAAAATACTCGCCCTCCATTCCCAACACACTTACCCCATCTTTCTTGTCAATCTCTGTGGGGTGCTAGAAGTCCTTTCTTGTGAGTGTCTTTCGTTGTGCTGTCCTGACTACCTCAATTCAAAACGTTGACCTTTGGTGTCATTTTGACTTTGGGGAAGAGCCAGAAATTGTGTGGTGTCAGATCCACTGAATAAGGTGGATGAGGACACACTATAAGGTTTATTTTTATTTTCATTTTGATACATATTTGCAGTACATAACAGTTACATTCCTCATGGGCAGTGGGGGCATACACATGACATATCTTAATGCTTTTTTCATCCCTTCCCACTCTGTTCCTTCCATCTCCTGCTCTGCTTCTCATTTGCAAAAGGTCTGTTTGCCTACTTCCTAGTACGTATCCTTTGTTTTGCTCTTGGTTTATATTTGGAGTTTCTCACTTAAGATAAACCATGCAATGCTTAAGCTTGTGTGTCAAATTTATTTCACTTAACATTGTACTCTCAGTGTGCCCATTTTCCTACAAGTGACTCGTTTGTTTTTCTTTATGGCACAGTAGTACTCCATTATGTATAAATATAACATTTCATTTATCCATTCATCTGTTTATAGACATATAGGCCACCTCCAAGATTTAGCTATTTTGAATTATGCTGCTATGAACACGGGTCTGCATGTATTAGAAGGAGAATGCCTGGGCCAAATTGAATTTCTAGTTTTAGTTTTTTGAGGAATTTCCATACTGCCTCTCCATTGGATGGCACTGGGTAGCTGCATTCACTATATTTTGATCACACCTCATAAAAACACTTATGAAAGAGGACTTCCACAACCACTCCAGGAAGTAGCAAGAATGAGCAGGTAGGTGTGTTTAAAGCAAGAAGGAGTATTCTGAAGGGGATTAATAATAATGTGTTTTTTCTACTCTAATAAATTAAAAAATTTAAACATTCACTGTGTATTTTAATTGCCTTCTGTGTTTTGATTGCAGTGATTGAAGTCAACCCAAGACAGCTTAAGAAGAAGAAAGAAAAAATATTTCTTTGAAGGTGAAGGTAACACCTGCTCTTGTTTGTTTGCTATCTCCTATTCCTTTCCTTGTTTTACTCATCCAATCAGGTGACTGTGGTTAGGCTGCCAATCATAGGCTTTTCTCCTGTTGCCATAGAGATTAGTCAGGTGGCTGAAGCTCAGAAATTTGTGTTGAGTCATTTCTTAGCTTATAAGGGCTAATGATGTGTAGGTAGATGAGCATGTTTTCAGTTCTTGTCTAAAGACTTTCTCTGGGATTTTTTTCTTTCTTTCTTTTTTGTGGATCGAGAGAAGGGCTTAATGCTGGGATCTAGGAACTAGAACTATGAGTGATTTGTTTATTGGATCCTATAACTTTTGTTTTCTTTTAGTGTAAATTTTATTTCGACTACTTTTTTTTGCTTAAGTTGATTTGAATACTATTACTTTCTACCCAAGGACTGTCATTGAGTCCTGAAAGATCCCAGGTAATCTCTTGGGCCAAAGTTCAGCAGGGCCTTTGCAAGCTTTGGAACTTGATGTTTACAGCTGGTGTGGCCAGTGATAGAACAGGGTCAGGGCCATATGCTCAAACAGGGCTGCCAGTGGTCCACTTTAAGGTGGAGAGGCAGTTCTCCAATAAAGGGAATCAGTACAAAATGCTCTGATACCTCCAAAGAGATAACTATCTTCCCAATCTCTGGTGTGGAGACTCTCAGTGTTGGCCATACTTTATAATCTCCCAGGGAATCTGGAAATACCCTTCTGGAATCATTTCCAGAGATAATAATTTCATTAGTTTAGGGACTAAACATTAGTTAGGGATTGTTTCTTGAAAAACTTCAAAGATGCTGTGAATACGCAATCAAGGCTGGGAAGCACTAGTGTAGCAGAATGTGTGTAAGGGAGACCAGTAAGAATTTTGCCAGACCACCTGATCACGTGATGAAAAACCAGAGTAAACTCTTTTTTGGTAACATTTTTCTATTTTGTTTCACAGGATTAGCACTGTTTACATATAATTACTATTAAAGAAGGCCAACTGGTATCCCTGTTGTCTTAGAAAACTTTTCACATGTTTTTTAGTGAACTTGGGGGATTTAAGTGATTTTGGTGTTCTGTTGATCGGATGCTGGAGTCAGAATTTGGAGTAGCATCTGTGTATATGTGAAACCTTCCAGGGCTTGTGGACTGGAGAGCTGAGGTTTCTTAAAGCTCACAAGAAGTAGAACCCATTAGATGAGGCTGCCAAGGACAGATATGCCTGCCATGAAGCAAAGGTTATATTTCCAAGGTTGAGCCCCTTTTGTGGGTTTTAATAATGCCCCTTCTCTGGTCATTTCAGGATACAGCAGTTGTTACAGTTGATAAAGTTGTTACAGCAGTGGTGGGTGGCCTGAGCCAGGAAGAAATTGTGGTAGGTATTTTCAGAAACTTATAGAGATATTTTGTTCAAATTCTTCTCCCTTGAGTTAGACATGATCCATTCATATTTTGCACCAATGATGCTTATTTATATAATGTCTTCTATCGTAGGCACATAGGGACTGGGGCTGTGTTGTTCACTGCCACTCCAAGTACCAGTTGCTAGGTTACAAACTACTCAGGCTGCGTGGTACAGTGGCAGGCAGCATTTCATTTTGGGTCAGAAGTGCAGGCAAGGAACAGCAGAATGGCTCATCTCTTCACCTCCTCACTGTGGTGTTGGTTGCCTTGCCTGAGGCCACGTGACTGGGGTTCCATATTTCTGAGGCTGCATGTGATGTCTTCCGGGGTTGGTTCATTGATCTTTTAAATGACAACTTTGCTGGAGGGTCAACCTATAATGATACTAGGTATAAGGACTATAAGATGTAAACTGCATTTTCCTCTTTCTTCAAATGAAGATAACTGTATCCAACACATCAGGTTGACTAGTATATTTGTTGTCTGTTAGTGAGTGACATGTTACCCAAAAACTTAGAATTCTAAAATAATAAGCATTTAAGATCCCACTAAGTCTATGGGGAAGGGATTTGAGAGCAGCTCAGTTGAATAGCTCTGGCTTAAGGACTCTCTTGAGATTGTAGTCAAGATGTCAATCAGAAAATTTTTAAAAATTAAAAATGTTATGTCATTTCACACTGCAGTCATCCAAAGGCTTATATATGAGGCTGGAGGATTTACTGCCAAGGTGACCCACAAACTTTATTTTGTCCTAGGTGTTGGCAGGAGACCCTACTTTTTTGTCATGTGCTCCTGGCCCCAAGATGGCTAGAAAGCTCTGAGGATGGCAGCCATGTTCTTCTGGGTAAGTGATCCTAGAGAAAGCAAGGGGGAAGGTGCAGTGTCTTTTTATGACCCAATCTCAGAAGTCACACACTGTTATTTCTAAAATATCCTATTGGGTTGGACAGGTCAGCTTATTCACTATGGGAGTGAACTACAAAACAGCATGAACATCAGGAGCAAAGAGTTCTTGGGGGCCATCTTGGGGGTGGTTAGCAAAACTAGAACAAAGTCTACAGGATTGTGGCAGAGGTGAAGTACTGAGCAGAACTCAATTCTTTCCTTCACTTTCAACTTTAACAAACTCTGCATTTCAGTCTCTCAGACCCAATGAGAAAGGAGTTCAGACATCACTATTTTTCTCTGAGGCTCAAAGTGCAGAGTTCATAAATTTAGAAATGTGCTCTCTTATTTGTGGATCTGTATTTTTCTCACTGAAAGAATCTTTCTAATTCACAAGACCCAGTTACCGATTAACCTTTATTCTCTCAGCAAATGGAAGGTAATCTCTCCCCCACAAATGCTTGGAGCTCCAGGAAGGGCTTAATTCTGAAAACTCATGAAAAGTAGCAACACAAAGACAAGTGTCCTTTAGGAGCCCCCGTGGGCTCCATTAGAAACATGTTGTAAATTGCATACATTGAGAAGCCTCTGGAGTGAGGGAAGCTGAGGTGGGAGAGGAAGCTGAGCTGTTGATAAGGATATTGCTAAAATCAGGCTGAACAAAGAGCATTTTATGGAATGAATCAAGCCTTTAAGAAAAACAGGGCCCTCAGCTTCCTTCATCACTGCAACCCCAAGATACAAAAGAAGGCGTAGCCCATTGGAATCTCACAATGCAGGGCAATTTTTAGGTTGATTGCAGTGGTGGAAACAGAGAGAAAGAAGGCAAAACTGAGGAAGAAGAACGCTCCAGGAGAACACCCGTTTTTCACTCAGTGCATATTTGTCAGGCACTGACCTAGCACTTCCTTCCTCTGGGTGAGGTGATGCACAGGGCTAGCAAGGTGTGGTCCCTGCTTTCCAAGCGTACAGCATCAAGATGGGGAACGAAGCTGCAGGCAAATCAGTTCGCACTGATGCGGGGAGTGAGAACGCAGATGAAGTTGCTCCTTCTGGCCTGAGGACTAGATGAGATCTCCTGAAGAAGGTGATGATGACTGAGCTGAATTTTACAGCTCAGCAGCAAAGAACAAGGCAGACAGCCCAACGAAGGATCAGCCGGTGCTATGAACAGAGCTGTGCAGTGCGGAGATGCTCCTAGGAAGCCAGGTCGGTGGAGGGGAACCACCCTTCCCCTCTCCTGCAGTGCCCGGTCTCACGAGGGGGATGGGTGCAGACCAGCGACTTCGCTTTGTGCTGTGTGTTAAATCTGCCCACTTCTTTTGTTATGACAGTGCGTGTGTGCATGCACACGTGTGTGCAGATGTGTACATGTGTACCCGACAAGTCGCCTTGCCCTCGTTTCTGTTGCTTTTGCTGTTTCTTGGCATCGACCGGTAATAGACAGGCCATTTAGAGACCGGGCCAGCAGCCTCCCTTCTGCTTGGAACCACAGTACACATTGCGGGGCCTGTGGATAGCATGTGTCCCCTGAAGTTCATGTGTGGCAAACTTACTTCCAGAATTCATACCTTGATAGTATTCGAAGGTGGGGTGTTTGGCAGGTAAGTGGGGTTAGACAAGGATACGAGGGTGGGGCCCTGTTGTAGGCTGAGGACTTTCTAAGCACGGGAAGAGACTGAAGTTGTCTCTCTCCCTGTAGCCGGTGTCCTCTCTTGCCCTTCCCCTGCTCTCTGCTGAGGGGTGCGCGAGAACACAGGCTGTCACCGTGCTCTCTACTTCTCAGTTCCCAGACCCGTGAGCCAAATACATCAATGTTCAGAAATTACCCAGTCTTGGATTTTTTTTAGAGAGGCAGAAAGTGGGCTAAGACAGGTGGGTTCCAATTAGTCCTAAAAGTGATATGATTTTCCCCCTTTCCTTCCTTCCTTGCCTGCTTCCTCTCTTCCTTGATTCCTCCCTCCCTTCCTCTTCATCCCTTTCTTTTAAAGCAGTCGCATCTCTTCCCCTGCACTGGGCATTTGGAGTAAAGAAGCTGCTCTAGAAATCACAGAGATAGAGGCACAAGGAGAGAACAGGTAGTGAGGTGTGTGTGAGAGAGACCCTTCCTAAGCGATACATTTCCAATTGTATTTACTTACTTTTGCGAAGACAGCACGGCAGGCTTTGCTCAAAGAGGGCCCTGGTATATAGGTACAGAGGCCACTAAAATAGGGCCTCAGTGGGGGAGAGGGATTAGACTCAGTTCTCAAGACACTTTCTATGTTTTTGAGGTGTAGACTGCGGTTTCCTTTCCTTCTGCACAAGAAATGCCCCCTTTGCTCACCGTAATCTTCGACATCACTGTGAGTGGCGACTGTTCTCTGACTTGGTGCTCAAGTGGACACACACTCTCTGGTCCCTTTGGTTCTGGAGAGGAGCTGCTTTTTCTTTAAAGGACCAGATGATGTTTCTGTGTTTTCTCTGCTGTCCAGAGGAACGGGGAGCAGACTTTCTCATCTACTCCTGGCTCCAAGGAAAGGACTGTTTCTTTCTCTGAAAAGAAATTTTAAAAATCAGTGGTGAGGGGCCGGGGATTTAGGTCAGTGGTGCTGCCGCCTGCCTCACAAGCACAAGGCTCTGAGTTCTATCCCTGCTCACCCCCACGAATCAGTGATGAAAAATGCATCCTTTCCCTCCAATCCAGCAGCTGTCAACCAGACTGAAAGTGACTGACGTTAGAAAGCTTTCCCTGTCTGTGTCATAATTCCAGGACTGCTATAACAACACACTTGTATTTAATCACAGCAAACACAGACACAAAAGGCTTAACATGAGGGCGGGAGTATGAGTAAATACCTTACCTCCCGTGCAAGAGAACAATGCGCTGGTGTTCCTTACTGAGGGGGAGGTGGGGCCCTGGGGACAGGGACTTTGCCAAGGGTGGCTTCAGAGCTGGCGCCTCCTCCTTTCCTGGGGCCACTGCCAAGAACACCTGAGGAAGTGCCTTGTGGTCCAAGGAAGCTCTGGGCTGTGGGATATCAGGGTCCCCTGGGTAAACATGAGATCCGGGGTGCAACCATTCAGTTCAGTATGGACTGATTGAACACTGATGTGTGCTAAGCCCTGTGCCCAGGTCCGGGGATGTGAATAAGGGAATTTCAAATTTAATATCAGACGCCTGGGTGCAGTGACTGAACACAAACATTTCTTGTGCACCTGCAATCCCTGGGGGGCCTGGGATGCCTGCCCCACCCCAGCTCACGAATGTCTGTCTTCATGTGGCATCACCTCCTCCCTATAATTCACCCTGGACAGAATGGTGCGTCTTCCTCTCCCCTTCCTTTTTCTCTATTCCTTCATGGGCTCTTTTCTGCCCCACTATTCCTTCATTTTCTACATGTCTGTGTCCCCCATTGTGCTTCCAAGGACCTCTAGAGTACAAGGCCAGTATCTTCTTTATGTCTCTGTCCCTATTTAAAAAATTGAGCTCCTAGAATGTAGCAGGTGCTCAAGAATGTTTAAGGGCTGGGGATTTAGCTCAGAGGTGCTGCCTAAAAGTATGATATGGATGCTTCCCTACTCTCTTGGGCTTTTTATATCTTCAACTGCCCATAAGACTTGATTTGATGATCCCAAGCCTTCTGTGAGGGCCAATATTTTTTTGTTTTTACTGAGGGAAGATTACACCTGTGCTCTGCTGCCTGCGGGTCGGTAGAGGAGACACTCCAGGGCTCCATGAGGGCAGGAGATGTTTCATTTTGCAATGGAGAAAAAGATAAGCAAGGTCTCTGGGGTGTCTCTGGTCTTTTGCAATGTTACCCTGTACATGTTCCGTGTCCTCCTTGAGAGAGATGGTTACATCTCTGCTCGGGATGCTGGGATATTGGCACCATTGCTGGTTCTCACCCGTGAAGGACTCTTCTTGAATGTGTGGAAGGCTATGCTTCCAAGAGGTTTATGTGGGAACCTGTTGTTCCTTTAGGCTGGAAATGATGGCTGTTTCTTCTGGGCTGAAGTACTTTTAGAGAAGGAGCACCTCTCTCTCTCTCTCTCTCTCTCTCTCTCTCTCTCTCTCTCTGAGAGTCCTGAAACTCCTTTTGGGCTCTTATGCAATGAGCGTGCAAGTACTGAACCCTATCTGGAGCTCTTTTCATTCTGGAGCTGGAGCATCTCTAAAATGCCTTGACAACCCAATACTATTTTCCATCAGGGAACTGCTACAAATGGAAATGGGAGCTTCTGATAAAAAGCACAGGAATGGACCAGGCAGGGAGGGACCAAGGGACTTTTCTGAGGGACCTTGCCACTCAAAGGGATGGCTTTGGCTTGTCTCCTGTGCCATTCTCACCAGGTAACTGCTCTAGGGAGTCAGTTATTTGTGTTTTTCAACAAGGAGGGTCATTGGGCTAACCTATGAGTCAATTACCTGACCAATATATGAAGTCACCAGAAAGCAGTTGGAATCTCAGGGTCAAATCTAAGCTGATACCATAAATTGTGGATTCAAATGGATTCCGCACATAACCTGAGGATCAGAGCCAAGGAAGCCAGAATGGAGCCTCACTTCTAAGGTGTCATAGGGCCAGGGAAGAAAAACAGAGCTGTGTCCCATGGTTCTAAAGTTCAACTTCAGACTCACATGACCTCAGCTCGAATCACTTCCTTCTTTCTAGCTGTGTGATATTAAGGAAATTGCTTTACCTCTCTGAGTAGTGCAGTTTTGGGGGTTGAAGGTGATGTGTTGTAGCAGGTAGACATCTAATGTTATAATTGACCGTGTGATAAACACCTCTATCTCCACGTAGCCTCGGCCACATATGTTGCACACTGACAGTACAGCCTGTTTAACTTTGTGGTTCTGATTGATGTGCTGGTTCTGATGTTACTTCCCAGGAAGTGATCTGGATGCTCCCACAGTCAAACTGTGGAGGACGGGGGCTGAGAGCCTGCCTCAGTACCTCTCCTGGATACCTTCCA